CAACAAGAATGCGAGTAAATAATACAGCGCACAATGTTTTCCAGGCATCAAATGCAAATTTTTCGAATTCAGTTTTCAGCTTTTAAATCCGCGTCAATGAGTTGTTTGCTAACATGACTGACTGACTGACTGACTGACTAACAAACTGACTGGTACTGCAACTTTCCCTTCTGTATTAAATATTTTTTTTTTGGATGGGCATGGAAATTTAATATTCACCCCTTTTATGTTATTAGAATTTTTCTAGCATTGAGTATGAGAAAATGAAAAATTTAAATGCCTAACTTTGCTAACTTTTGCTACATAATTTTTGTGCTGTTCTCGGTGTATACATACTTACCTCTGCTGCCACCAAAAAATGGCAGTCAAAAAGTAACAAACTCATTTAAGCGCGCAACTTTGCTGCATACATATATATTTATTTAAGTATGTATGAGCGTAATCGGGGGTTGGCTGGCTGCTAATGAAATTTTTGTTGAAACTCGTACACCAATGCCGTCAAACTTTTCAGTTGCCCGCCGCTTCTTCGGTGTTAAATAACACTGAAGTGTGCAAGTGTCGGTGATATGCAAATTTTGATGTCCTTCCACAAAAAGCATGAAAACCATTCACTCTTTAAAATAATCAAATTTTCTAATTTTTATGACTCTCCTTTATGGCGTGGTGGGGTCGCGCAAGAGCAACGGCTAGGTTGGTTGCGCATTTACCAAGGGAATACCCAATATGCAGTTGTGGTGCAGTGAAGGCATGTAATTGTTTTAGACATAATCAAATAATGGACAACACGTTTGCTGGTTTCTATTTTCACTTTTCAGGGTAAATAGCTAAATGGTTAAGATTTTTGTGTAGCATTATTTTAGGAAGAAGAGCAGGAGACACGTTAAAATCAGCTCGTAAGGTGGAGGTGAGGAAGTTAAAAGGAATTAATAAGTCAGCAGTTGAGAAGAAGAGCGCAGTTGACGTTCGGAAAACATTCGAAAAGGGTTCCGGGTTAAAATCAACGAATTAGGATTTAAAAAAGATAAAAAATTTAATTTTTTCGAAGCACCACAAAAACATTTTTCATGGACAAAATTTCAACATTTATACTCTCAAAATTTAATAACATTATAAAATATTAATTAACTCCAACTCTATCCACATTCAAAGAGCATCATTCTCCGAATCAATCCTGCCTTGTATGGAAAGCAACCACCAGCAAAGTTACAGATTATTATTATGCTTGGCTTTATTTTAACTGTTTTTTTTTTTTTAATTATGCCTTCCATATTTCAAGTAAAAACCATAAGAGAAAATGAACAGAAGAAAGAAAAAATATTTGCCATTTTTGGTAGATCGACCGCTGTGCGAACTGTGTTCGGAGTGTAAATGATAAGTAAGAGTCCATGTCATTAACGGTGCAAAAAAAAAACACAGGGTGCTTAAGTTGGTTAAGTTAGTTTAGGTGAGGATGGCTACCTCTATAGCCACAAGTTCACTTGGACTATTAGTCTTCATTCCCGAAAACTCCTCGGCCGCCGGTACTTGAAGGACATAGCCAACTTCCATTCCAAGGTTTTCGTCTATCGTGCGTTCAGATGGCCAAAAATCCAGCTGCTCAGAAGGAAACCACACATAGCCAGTGGAACTTCTATCATTTCCTTACTCGACGACAGTTCCCCGAGAGTATCCTAGTCTGCTTGTCCATCCAACACAAGTAATCTTTCAGCAAAGTAATCTTATGCGATCAAAAGATAAATCAAGCATTCCCTGATATTTTTCGGTTGTACTATCAAAGGGCTAAGCGCCTTGATTGTCGTTTAAATATCAAAATATATGTTAACCTCATTAAAAGGAGTTGAATTTGTAAGCAACCAGTCTGTTGCTTCCTTTATTGCGGCGGACGAGGGAGGCCTCCTCTGCGATGGACCAAGTGGCGATGGAGTTGGCTTTACTTGGAGCCTAAATGTGAAATTAATTAAGAGTTACTGGTAGGAGACGCCTTCAACTATCTTCTAATAGAGCTTCTTTCCATCGGTGGAAAGGTGCAGAGGGCGATGGTTCCACATGGTGTTAAGTTTTTCTAACATGTAATGTAATGCCGAATTTCCACTAGACATTGAAATGGTAAACGAATTTCATCATGTAAAAAATTTCATGTGAAAGCGAATTAAACGAATATTTTGACGAAAGTAATGACACGGATACTTTTTAATGCCTATATTTTTCATATATATTTTTTTTTATTAAATGCACAGTGTAAATCTGGAATAAGTTTTTAAAAATTGTTTCTTTGTTTTCATGCATGATAGTCTAGTCAACGCTATATTTAAATATATTTTTAAAAATATTATTTTTTTTTTTTCGTATGTTTTTTTCTTAAAAAAAATATTAAAAACTTTTAGCATAAGTTATTAGGCAAACGCTTACATATATGTATGTACATGCATATGTATGTATATAAGTATTTTGTACACACCTTCAATCTTGTTACCCTCACAGCACACCCTTTACTTAAAAGATTTAGTTTTTGTCCCTTCCTTTAAAACCATCCCAACTCATTTAAACCTTAAAGTCTTAAAAACCAATGTCATACAATGCCAATGCCAAAACCAGCATCAACTCATCAGCAGCAGCAACCGAGTCATTGTAGTTAGCCACTTTAAGCACACACGCATGGCATACTTGTTGTTGTTGTTGTTGTAGGCAGCTGCTGGTTGTTGTCTGCCTGGTTATTTGAATATTTTACTTGCTTGCGCTGCTCATCTGCGCCAAATTAGATAATGTCTAAATTGGATTTAAAACACGCACTTTGCGGGTTTCAAGACCACAATCCGCCCATTTGCAATTGCGTTGCCGGGCATTTGGAGATGGTCGTTTTTCGATGCTTTCTTTTGTGCCACCGATATTTTTTTTGTGAGAGGTGAGGGTAAAGAATATTTAACGAATCAGATTTCGCAGCCATAAAGGTGGTAAATGCTAATGCCAATATACTACATACGTATGTACAACTATGCTCATTCAACGGTATTGGTGCTTTTGTAGCGTAGACGCGCGTGATTTGTGGCTTTTCATTGTTGTGAAGTTGCCACACGAAAAAATCAAATCATTGAAAATGTTTGCTAATTTGCATACATATGTATGTATAGAGTACAAGCTGTTGCAAAGGTAACAATGTTAAATAAAATCTTGTAATAACGTAGATATGCAAGAATGAAACGTGTCACGCGCATTAGAGTGAAGCGAAGAAAATTGATTTTTTGATTTTGAAATTTTAATAGTGCAGGAAAGTTGCGTAGCATGAACGAACACATTGAATGTTCAAGAATTCTATTCAAGCAAGAGCATAAAGTTTCGTAAAATCTCTCAAATTATGGTTCTTTTATATTTTTCTTTCCGAAAGTTTTTGTAGAAAGGTTTTGTGTATGCAGTTTTGTTTCTTCCGTATAAAAAGTCGATTTTGCATTCCAGACGCTTATTCAGAATTTTTAGAAAATTTTTCGATGGTCATGAGAAAATTTTTCTACAGCCCTCAATTTTCTTTAAGAATTTCTATATATCGTTCATTCCGGTACGTTGACTTAAAAACGAGTTATGAAATTTGAAAATTTAAACAATTTTTTCTGTGGTATTTATATGATGAAAAATAAGCAACCTCTAAATCTTAATGTTAAGGGCAACGCTTTTGGCTGGCCTTATTTTCCACTGTTCCAAAAATATTTTTTCGGGATTTCGAAAAACTTATAGTCAATTGATTTGAACCAGTCTAATAATCCTACATATAAATATGCAGAGTTGTATTTAATACCCACGCTTAAGGAAATAAATTGCTTTGCAGGCCCCCATCAGCACTTCTATGGCCTCAATCAATGCTTGCGCTGATTTGCTGCTACTTTACAATAACATTAACGGTATTTTTCTGGCTGATTAAGCGGGGTAACAACGTGAGCGAAAAAGTGGGTAAAAAGTATGTGTATGTTCCTTAATATAAAATCTGCAAAAAAGTGCATTGAAGGGTTTCTCACAAAATGCGCCAAAGAAATATATATAAGTTAATTTAATTAATAAGGACGGTCACGATTTGCAGCAAATTAGGACTGTTCTCTATCGTATTGATCTCATATTGAAGCTTCGTATTGGCTTAAACTAAATATGAGCCTTTGGAAAACCTGGAGGCGGTGCCTGAACTTAATGCTTTTCTAAGCGTAATCAAGCTTATCAAAACCTACTAAATCCTACCAAGAGAAAACAGTACCAAATTTGGTGGAAAAATGTCAGCATTAGCAACACTGGATGTATATTCATTCTAGTAAAATTCACCAAGTGCATTGTTGATACATTGAAAGAAGAGAAGAGTGCCTTTGTCTATGACTTGTTCTTTGCTTTTAGCGTTGCCTTTTTCTGTCTTTGTCTTTTATTTTTTCTTGGTCCTTATCTTTGTCTTCGGCTTTGCCTTCGCCTTAATCATAATCTTAACCCGAATCTTCTCTTCTTCATCTCCATCTTCGTCTTCACCTATAACTTCATCTTCATGTTTGTCACCATCTTCATCTTTATTTTCACATTCACCTTCATCTACGTCTTCTCCACTTAATCTTCACTTTTATATTCTGTTCCAATATTATCTCTTATCCTCACCTTTATGTTCTGCTTCATCACCTCCTTCCTAATCTCAATCTTAAATAATATTTGTCTGTATTGTTATTTTTCAATCTTAAATAATATTTGTCTATATTGTTATATTTTTTTTTTCTTTTCCTTATATGTATGTAACTACTTTTTACTTTGTCGATTAAAAAGCTTCACTGAAAAAATGTTAATATATAATCTTTCTTAAACAGACAGGCCACGATCAAGCTACTAACCAATTTCCCAAACTTTTTCGGGCAAAAACTGCTGA